CAAAAATAATGGAGTACTTTATATTTTTAGAATTATTGTTACAACTTCTAATTTAATTATGTAGGAATCATTTTAGATGTGTGCATTTGTTCTGAGCTAAGAATTTCTTCTGACAGTTCATTTGCTTTATAGGTCTCTAACTTAGACTGTATATTCATTATTGAGTTATGAATTTCCCCTACAATCCATGTGTTTAATAATACTCTCTTACTCTTTTGAATGAAATTGTACCTTTAAAAGAAAGGTTCTGTTTTCAGGCTGCCTATTGGCCAGTGCCTAGAAGATCCCAAAAATACTGGTCTCAGTACATTTGAGTTGTGATATATGCAATGAAAGATAGTAGCCGATATAAGCATATAATTTATTAAATATACCCTTCCTCTCCTTCTTTTGATAACTAGGAACCCTTGATTTGAATGAAGGCCTGGATGGTAAGCATCAGATTTGCAGATGACATAAAGCTCTGAAGGATACTGTAGCTAATATATATGAAGACAGAATCTGAATGCAAAAAAAAAAAAGATCTTGATGGATTGAAGTTCATAAGATGAAATTTAATGGAGATGAATGTAAAATTCTACAACTGAGTTCAATTGCATAACAATATGATGGGGCAAGCAGTCCATGTGTAAAAGGGCCTAGGAATTTTATTATGCTGGAAATTCAATGTGCATCATTGATATGAGATCATAACAAGTGATCTAATGTAATATTAGGCTGCATTACTAGAAGTACAGGGTCTAAAACAAGAAAGGTGATAGTTCTATTGTGCTCTATCTAAGTCAGATCTCACTGAGTATATTGTGCCCCAGGATTGGTGACATATTTTAGAATGGATATTGACAAACTGGACCAAATCCAGAAGTATGTGGCAAATATAGTAAAGGAACAAAATTTTATTTAAAAATCTTTATGAATAATGGCTAAAGGAATTATAGATTTTTATCCTGGAACAGAGAGAAATTAGGAAAAATATGGGAGCTATCTTCAAATTTGTTTGGTTGCATTATAAGTAATGAATTAGACTTATGTTTGACTGTAGAAGACAGAACTAGGACCACTGGCTAGAAATCAAAAGGAGAAAGATTTTGGCTGAATATAAAGATGAACTTCTCAAAAATTAGGACTATCCAAAAAACTTAAATGTCCTACGTCAGAAAGCATGATATATCTTTACATAAAGTCTTCAGTAAGAGGTTTAATGGCTAGTTGTCATTACTTTTGTAGATGAGTTTCTCTTTTTAGCTAGAATTTGGACTAGCTATCCTCTATAATCTCTTCCAACTCTACAAATCGATGGCTCTATAAATTAAAAATTAACATTGATATGGCAGCTTCATGATATCACAAAGGGAATATATCAAACCATTTTTTTTGCCCCTTCATTCAAGCTGCATCAACACAATGCAAATATTCCCAAACTTTTTTTTTACTTAAAATGTTTTCATTTTGTAAATATTGCTGAGAGAGAGAGAGAGAGAGAGAGAGAGAGAGACAGAGAGACAGAGAGAGAGAGACAGAGAGACAGAGAGAGAGAGAGAGAGGTACTCCTTTGGAGTAGGTATTGCAGTAACAATTACCTCCAAAATAACATGGTGTATTCAGACCTACTTTTAGCTAAATCTTTAAATAAGACCTCATCCTTGGATCTCTGATCTATAATGCCTGGGTGAAATGAAAATAACACTGCAGTATAGGTGTAATGGAACTCACCCTGTTCCCAGCTATACAACTCCAATTTCATTGGAACCTATAGATTCTCACTAAGTTTTTTTTCTATAGGTATACACTAGCTCAATCTCCTTCCTATGCATATTCAGAATTTTCATAAATGTGTAATGTATTCCCTAGGGCCTAGGAGTTTGAACTAGATGATTTTTAAGGATCCTTCCAGATCTGACATTCTATGCCTCCATGATGAGAGTAAATCAGTAGTTGGGAAGGGATGAAGGAACTGAGGGGAAAGGGGTATATTACAAAAACACCTAACAATGCAGTGGGTTAGTCTTTATAATGTGTTTTTTATCAAATGGTATTCCAGTAGCTTCCCTAAGCACCTGACCGAGGAAGTGGCTTTGACACTGGGGAGAATAGAGCACAGATAGATTTAAATATACAATATTAGGAATTATTCCATACTTCAGTCTATTAACTAGAGCCTGATATGCCCTCAAAGAATGTCAAAATTGAAAATTACTCTTTGGTCATATGCCTTGGAAACATTATTTAACTTTGTATTTCTATCTCATTTTAAACAATTGCACTGTGTATGACAACTCCCTTGTTCCCTTTTGATTAACTCATCCTCTACAAACAGAAACTATATTCCCATCACTTAACATATATTTCAGTTATCAAAATATTGCATTAACTTAGTGTTTCTGTATTGTTTTTGAAAATGAAAAGCTAAAATGATGTTACACTCTTAGAAATATATTTTATTTGGGGTGACAGTTTCCAGACCTAGCCATCTAAGCAAGACTCATGTTTTTCTTCCTTCTTCCTGGCAAGGATCCCAGAAAGGATCTCTATATCTCAAAATCCCAAACTTTGCTTTTGTTCAGGACAACTCACTTTAATTCTTCCTAAACCCTAGTAAGATAGATTTCTCATAAATTGAGAATATAGGCAATTAAATGATCTAGAAGGGGGAAAATCTGTTTTCAAGCTACAAATAGGCTTAATCCAAGACATTTCCTGGTATGTCTAGATAAAACTTTGATTCCAAACAGACAAGATTACTCTCTCTCTCTCTCTCTCTCTCTCTCTCTCTCTCTCTCTCTCTCTCTCTCTCTCACACACACACACACACACACACACACACACACACACACACACACACACACACACATCTTTGCTTAACTTAATCTGGATTTCTGGCATGAGAATTCTTTCTCCATTTCGGGGTAAACTTTTTTTTTTCTGATAAAGATATCCTCCTCATCACATTCTTTGCTAATTCAATTGGCAAAATAATAATAATAACAATGAGAATAATAAAGTACCAACTAAACAAGCAAAGGACTGAAAGTTCTGATCCAAAGGCTAACTTTTATATTGAATTTGATACTTTGAAAAATTCTGTTCATTTATGTGAATCACAAGTTTTCCTAAGGGGAAAAGCTAGCACATAGGATTAATGAAAATATGGAGTATGAAAGAAAATGAATGAAAAACATTTATGTCTCTATCTCCAGTCCTTAGCCCAGTGCCTAATTCAGAGGAGACATTAAGTAAATGTTTATTGAATGAAAACAAAACAAAGAAACAAACAGGAAATGAATGAAAACATATTTTTTAAGCACTTACTATGTACCAAATATCATGTAAATAATGTTTTTTTAAAGGCATGTTTAAAGATGGAGGAAAAGGCTGCATAGACATAAGCAGGATAAAATAGATCATAATTTCTCTGAGGGCAGAGGTTGGATCTTGTTCAATGTTTTTTCTCCCACAGAATCACTGGATCTTGAGTTCAAAGAACATCCAGTCCCAGCCTGTATCTGAATCTGCCACATCAACAAGTGGTCATCCAGCTGTTACCTGAAGACACCTAATAAGGTGCTTCCCAGTAACACCAAGCACAGGATTTTGTACATAGTAATAATATTTTAAATATTCCTTTAAGGAACAAATTAAATGGAGAATTTAAACAATACCCTGGTAATTCAAACAAACCTGTTGTTTTTGAAAGGAAAAATTAGTTTAGGAGCATGGACTGTTCAAATCATTTGTTCGCATTGTTATTGAATTTTCATGTTAATTGCTCATTTCCAGAGATGACTTTTAATATTCTATTAGATTTTGTGCCTCTTCTCAGGTCATAAAATTAGAGAATGATCTACTTTTTTTCTTTTCTCCCTTTTAGATTTTATATGTGTGTGCATATATGTATATATACATATGCATATATATGTATGTGACATTTATATATACACACTATATAGATATGATCTAATATGCATATGTGCATGCATACATACATGCATACATACAGTATCCACAGTACTTCAGGGAAATTAGAACAAGTATCTACAATCTGAGTAGGGAAAAATAAGGATTAAACCATACCACATCACTGGTTTTCAGTTTTTGTACTAATTCCACATTAAAAACTATTTTGAATAATTACAAGTTAAAGCTTATTAGTTGAAGCACAAGATATGACACTATAATTCAAGTTTCATTTTGTTGTTTTTTTTTCTTGATACTGAGGGAAGTAATCCATACTTCCTGTTAGCTTGGAAGTGACTATGAAAGAATATAATTTTCTCATTCATTCTTTTTCTCTTAGTTGGTAACCTTGCTTCTAAAAATTCACAAAAATAATAAACGAAATACATCATTTAATACACTGTCTTTATGATGACCTATAACTCTTTCCATCACAAAAGATATCAATTATCCCTCACAAAAAAGAAACAGAAAATACCACTACTGTTTAAGAGGACAAAACAAGAATTGTAATACATAAGCAGAGGATGAATAGAACACACTTAAGAATTAAACACATTATAGCATAGTTTATTGTCGTGGTTGTTCTATATGAGGTATCTGTCCTGTTTTTCTCTTGCATCTTATATATGCTAGCACCACAGAGTTCAAAACCATTTCACCATATACTATAAACTTAATTCCCTGGAGGCATATACTTTTGAGACCACCCTGATTCCCTTTTACCCAGATTTTGCACTGAAGAGATAAATGAAAAGATCATAGTATTGCATGAATTTAGTTTTACCACTACTTTTAGGCATTTTCCAAATCTCCAGAGATCAAAGTTTTTTAAACATATATGACAACTCTTTTTCCTCTAAGGTTAAGTAAATTTTTTGATGAGTTTCCATAGTATACCTTCCACAAAATGAGCTAATTTTGCCAAAAGTTAAAAAAATTAAAAATAAAACCTCTTTAAAAAACAACCTTTGTATGATGGAATGCTTTCCTCTCTTTGCATTGTGAAAATGTGTGTGTATACTATGAAATGGATTTGAACTCACCTTTCAGGAGACTTGGCTTCATCAACTACTCCCAATACTTCTTCAGGTCTCCTGTCAAAAGCAATGTAGTTCTCTCTCTTCTTCCCTAAGACTCAATGGGTTGATAGCTTTCTTTCTGTCTGTGATAAACACTGCTGAGGACCCTGAGCTTTTGTCTTCACTCCTGATGCCACAACACCTTTTCTTGGCACTCCATATGGTCCTAAGGGAAAATTCCTGCAGAAATTACCTTCTTACTAATCTCTTGACAGATGGCTTTCCTGGCAAGAGTCTTAGAGGAACTATAGGGGGATTTTATTCTCTAGCATTTCCTCCTCACAGGGTTTTTTCCTCCTAATTGCACATTTGTCTATGCCTCATGTCCTAATAGGCCAGAGGATCATTGCCTTCTAGCAGCTCTCTTATCTGTTCTGTTTTTCTGTTCTTGATTGTCATAGATCTGCTAGCTTAGATCTTTTTTTAATAAAAAAAAAACTTTCAATGTTTCAGTATTTTACTCAATATGTACCCAGAGGGCATTTGTGAAAAGAGGATCTGTTATAAGCTCAAAAACATAAAAGTGAATAAATATTAAATATTTCTTCTTCTACAGCTACAGTAATTTTATATAGATAATGATATATAAATATATAGGTATTGATGAAACAGTGGGTCCAGAAATTCAAAATTCAAATGGTTTTTTGTTTGTTTGTTTTGTTTTGATTTTCTGAGAGTCCTGTGCATATGTATGTACTTAAGTTCATTCCTCAATGGTGGGTTCCTAAATTAAAAAAAAAAATAGGATACTCTGAGGAAAATAACCAAATGAAAACTGACTTTGAAAGTACTGTTGTGTTTTCTGCTGACTAGAGAAGATAACTAAGGAGGGTTATCATGTAGGATGCACTGCTACATCAGTTCTTTTGACCAGTTACATCCTCAAGGATATCAGCTTAGTAATAATTTAAATATGACTGGGATGAGATTGGTAACTTTTCTTGGATAAGGTAAATCATTTATATATAGTGGAATTGAGTAAAATTTCATGAGAAGATGAAATTGTAAAGTTATCCTGAGTTAATTTTGTTTGTTAAAGGTCAAAAGAAAGAGAGGAGTTAAAACCAGTTTTTTCGTAACGGGAAAACAAAACATAATAAAACATATGACAGTCAGTAGTATGGGATGGGCAGCCCTCAGTTGAGGAAAGATTCTAACCAGGGTAGAATAGCTGACAGACTGAATAAGGAGGCAAAGACACAGGGAGAACAGGCAGAGTTTGGGGTGAAGTATCAGGTCAAGTAAAGAAAAAAAAGCAATAGGACAATAAAGAAGCATCAAAGAAGAGACTGTAAACAAAAATATTTTCTAAGGAGCCGTTAACCAGAGTCAGAACCAAAGATTGAAAGGGTAGGCCAAGGTTCCTCAATGATAGTCAGAATGGAGAAGCAAAGAAGAGTAAGTTAGTTTACCTAATTTTGTTTGTATTTTTGCTTTGTACAATTACCTTGATTAGTGAAAATGTATTAAATAGAATAATTTTAACTACTAAAGATTCATTTTAATTTCTCTGTGTGCCCACCCATTCCAGGAGCTATTAACCTCAGTTTCTCTGTTTTGCTTAAGTGTTTAGATATATCTACCTTCCACTAGTAATTTCGGAAGTGAAAAATATAAGAAAAAAAAAGGCTACAAAGAAACCATTTTGCCTTGAAGTTCAATCCTGGTTCTTGTCATAGGTAACTAGGAGAAAAAGTATATAGAGTGTGCTGTGTTTAAGAGCCAGGGTGACTCAAGTTTAAATCTTGCCTCAGATACTGACCCTGAGGAAGTCCCTCGACTTCTAGCCTCAGTTTCTTCATCATTAAAATGAGAATAATAACAATAGCACCTACCTCGTAGGTTCTTATGAGGATCAAAGGAAATAATGCATATAATGTTCTTTACAAACTTTAACATTTTATTTAAATGTACATGTATTTGTATATGCATATATACACACAGATATATGTATGTATGTATGTATGTATGTAAGTATATATATATATATATATATACACACACACATATATATATATGCTGTTATTTATTATTATTAACATCATAATTCTTTTTATTGAGGTACAACCAAGCCAACAACACATAGCATTAATAGTACTATATCATCATAGTACTATTAGTACTATATCCCTATATGCTCTTCAGGACAACAGTACTTTCAGAGACTTCTATTACTTTAGTATTAATTAGTATGAGAAATTAGTGAAAATTAAAGCTATAAAGCTCTTTACAAGGAGCTGGGTTGTAAAAATCACTTAGCAAAGCCAATGATATATTCATAATTGGCAAATGCACTAAGATAAGTAAAAATCTGTGCTTAGTCAGTACTCAGAGAAATTCTGTGTGAAACCATCATTATGCAGAGTGTAAATGTCTTAGGATCCATGTGGTTTCAGGGCTACATCACTTGTGACCTGAATTGCAACTACGGAAGGGCAGCTGGGACTTTGTCCTAGGTTGCCAAAAAATTGAAGGTTAACAACAGCACTTTTAACCATTCAGCAAGTCGAAAAGAAAAAAAAAAGTTGAACTTGGCATTTGACATGTAAAAATAATTAAAGAAACAAGGAGACTAACAATTAACCTAAACCATATGCATGTAGGTGGTACAGTGAATATGGCATTGCACTTGGAGTTAAGAAGACCCAAGTTCAACTCCAGCCTCATTCACTTACTAGGTATATGACTCTGAGCATGCCACTTCATTTCTTTCATTTTCAGTTTCCTTGTATGTAAAAGAATAATAATAATATTGACGTGGAGGTGATTATTATTTCCATTTCTCCTGATATGTGATTCCTCCCTATCCCTCCCTTTTCCCCTTCCTTAGGAGCAGCCTAACCAGAAGCAGCCTTGTAGTATTCTAGAATCTCTGCCTCAGAGGCCTATGTTACAAAATCTAACTCCCTGCCTCTAATTTGAGGGTGCTACTTAAATCACATGCTAGAATCATCCATTATAACTCTCTTTATGACTAAGTTATAATGAATGTTTTCCAGTGCTTTAAAAGCTGGCAACCTCACTTAAAAGGAAAAAAACTACCATTATAAGCAATGCTCATAATAGGACAAAGTATTTTTGAGATATACTTAAGAGGATATTTGTGGTTCAAGTTGAAGAATTGCTACCTTAGAAGCTTATGACATATCAAACAGTACTCCCAAGAAAATTTTGTGTATACATACATGTATATGTATTTATGTACACATATATAAATGAGATAGATGATAGATAGATGGACAGATAAAGATAGGTAAACGATAGATCCCAGAGGAAAAGTCTAAAGATGATTTTTTTTAACAGTCAATATTATTTAAGATTTGCAAGTTTCACTTATCAAAAGACCTGGGCATTATGGTGATAGTGTGTTAAGGGATATAGAGACCAAGTAATTTCCTGTCTTATAGATTTCTGGGCTTCCATCACCATGTCTAGTACAGAATTATTGACTTAAACTTTATCTAATTGAAGCCCTTTCAATTCATTTGGTTTTCTATCTTATGTAGAGCAGTGATTAAAGGAAGCTATTTTTTTTACTTTAGATTTACTCAATAATGAGTAATGTCAAGCTTCACTATAAGCCTTATACTGCAAAACTAGTTAAAAAAAGAAGAAAAAAGAAAAATCAAAACCGACAATCATGTTAATATCAATGGTCAGTTCCCAATCCAACTAGATAGATATGATACATTTTGTCTGGGCTTGTGTCTGAGGCCTTCATTAAAATGACAACTAATGTAGGTGATCAAAACCTATGAAGTAAATGATGTTAAACTCTGAAATCATATGTCCTTGAAAAAGCAGTGCTCTCTAGCTTAGCTTTCCAGAATCTAAGAAGCATCTTCCTGCATACTCTGCTAAACAGTCCTGCATAATCACACCCCAGTTGGATCAGGACAAAAACTGCTAGTCACACAGGCCAAATAAAAAGTCTTTTCTCAAGTTTTTTTCTCTACAACAATATATTTTTCAAAATGCCTAGGTATTAAACACTCAAGAATATATAATGGGAAAAAGCAAGATCTAGGTGTTGGCATATTCAATGTAGCTTTGTGTGAAATTACATGATGAGTCTTCTGAGTAAGCTCGCTTGTGGAGAGTGAAATTAAAGAGCAGTGGTAGTTTAGAGGGTAGCCAGCTTCACTCAAGGAAAACTAGCTCTGTTTACTCAGATAGTAGCAGGCCTCTGAGATACACTGAGCTTTTAAAAACTAGGTAAATTCTGGCTTGGTGTCAAACTAGTAACAAAGGCATTTTCTAAGGTTAAAGAGAGGATCAGTTTCCCCTTTCCTCTTACTTTTAGTTGGCTGAGGGATGTGCTGACCAGTTGTTGTCTGTTTTTGCATTGCAAGGGGGAAAGAAAGCACAACAGAAAGAGATGTTTTATTTACTAATAGGCCCAAGAGTGGGCAAATTACTCCTTGTCTACAAAATGAGAATAGTTGGATTAGATCAGTGGTTTCCAGTCTTTCTGAAATGAAATCCTCTTTTAACATGAAAAATATTTTCATATCCCTTGTGGTTGTTACTCAGTCATGTCTGATTCTTCATGACTCCATTTGGGGTTTTCTTGGCAAAGATACTGCCATTTCCTTTTCAGGGCAATTTACAGATGAAGAAACTGAGGCAAATAGGGTTAAATGACTTGCCCACAGTCACACAGCTAGTAAGTGTCTGTGGCCAGATTTGAACTCAGGACAATGAGTTACTCCAGACCCTGCACTCTATCCACTGCACAATCTAGCTTCCCTTTACACCCCTAGTCTTTTGCTACTTACATCTATTAACTGAGAAAATTCATTACCAAAAAAAAAAAGACAAACAAAAAAAAGAACAAAAAAAAGCAACCTAGTGTTGATTCATTAACATTTTGAAATGAATGTGTGCTTTCTTTATCAAGACTGCCCCTATAAACATTTTTTTAAAAATTGTGTGACATTATTTGGCTTTCTACAGAAAGTAAGTTTACTTCTATGCCAATTTGCGTATGGATTGCAAACCTCTTATGATAATTCTTGCATTGCTCCACTACTGAGTCCAAGTCCCAAAGACTGGAAAACTGCAGATCTCTAAGGTCACTTCCAGCCAAACACTCTGTTAAAATGTTTACAAAGTCCTCCTGGTTCTGCTCACCTCACCCTGCATCAGTTTATGTAAGTTTTCCTAGGTTTTTCTGAAATCATTCTGCTTGTCATTTCAATGAGGAATGAAGGGAGGCTTCAGAGAATTGTTCATGGGAAAATCTGAAGTGAAAAGAAAGAGTATCAGTTAGACAATCTTGAAAGTCAACAATGTTGTGATTAAGGTGGGGGTAGAAGACCAGAAAAATGTGGGACAGGAAATTGTTTTCT